TGTCCATTACTAATACAGTTGGCCATTGATTAGTTCTATTATGGTATTTGTGTCCATTGATAACAGTACCATGTCCAAACGTGTGTTCATGGACGTTCTACATGACAATGGTAATAGTAACCATGGACACATTCGTGGACTTAGTTGTGACCATGAAAGCCAATTCTCATGGTCATCCCTTGCCATGGAGCACATTAGCCATGGTCATGCAATCCATCCACTATATACTCATGGTCAACTGTTGTTTTCATGGTTTACTGGTTTCATAAATCTATGGTCAGAAAAGGCCATGGTTAAATTTATGTCCATGGCTCATGACAGCCCCATGGTTTTTTTACCCAGGGTAGCTCATACTGTTGAGGCGCTAGAGGGTTTTTTGGGGTATTTTGGGCGAAAATCAGCGTAAAAAATACAACCCTGCACGTTACACGAAAATGGTGGGTCGTAGGCCTGTATCCTTGTGTAATTTTTCTACTACTCGGCTCGGGTGTCAGCGCCATAGGCCAAGGCAGATGTAAGCCAGGCGCGTCGCAGCGTAACAGTGTTTCGTGAGATATCGCGAAGCCTGTTACGCGAGGCGTGGTCTAACGTACGTCTATCTTGTTTAGGAGGGTCGGGCCTTTTACCCCCTTTCTACGTGATTGATCTTAAAACCTGTGTGCTTGAGTATAGGACGGGACTACAAAAACCTGAACCGATATAGGTTCAGTCGCTTGATCTCGACCACCATCCAGTAATATTTGTTATTTCAATGGATTGCCGAGTGGAATACCCTAACAGTGCTATCCATATAAAGAACAAATCTTACTTTGTTTTGGGGCACATCATGCTCCTTGTCTTTAATGGCGTTCTCTTTTAGACATCACCGTTTTAGCGCATGTTAAACTGAATAAGTGGGCCATTTACAGAGAGGTTGCCGATAGTAACCGACCCAATGCTGACTATATTCTGACCACCCTTTCCACCCGGCGAGGTAGTGGGAGCAGGAGGGCCTGGTGGGCCAGGCCGTCCGGTAGGCGATGGCGGGCCAGGTTGGCCGGTAGGCGATGGCGGGCCAGGCTGGCCTGTAGGCGATGGTGGACCTGGTGGGCCAGGTCGGCCGGTAGGTGATGGCGGGCCAGGTCGGCCGGTAGGTGATGGAGGGCCTGGTTGGCCAGTAGGTGGTGGTGGACCAGGTTGGCCGGTAGGCGATGGCGGACCAGGTCGGCCTGTTGGGGGGCCAGAAGGACCAGATGTCGAAGGAGAAACGGTAGAGGAAGGGACCGGGACTGTTGGCGGATCACTAGCAGTTGACGCTGAAAAGTAAGGAATATGATTCAGATTGTGGCTTCGGAGTGAACAAACTGGCCGTCGACCCTCGAATATGTGACACACAAATCGGTCTTACTTACCGGTGTATGGAATCACAATGTCCACGGCGAGACATGTGTATTTAGTAACGAAGGAGTTCTGCAAAATAGGAAATCATGTTCGATATAGTACTGTCTGTTTAACCTAGATTCCTAAACAAAAGAAAATGGTGTAACAGCCTGTGTACACCCCATATTTCTGCTTTGAAAACTGGGAAGACATTAAAGAAAACGAACAAAGCGCAATTTTCAACTTGCATTTTGAACAGGAGATTTATACACCTGTAAAGGCTCTCTTTAGCCGCGGACAGCTTCAAGACCCCTTTAATCTAGAGCAAATGAACCTAATTAGGATCACTAGCTTATTCCGATCAAACGTCCGTAGTTACATATGTGGGTGAAAATTCATCCGGTGCTGTAATTGTCTGTCTCAAATTAGGGCTCTTTCTTTTGTCTTTTTAACTGGTGCTACCGTGCTGAGTGTATTGTGTAAATCGTGACACAACCGCTTTTGTGGTATGGAGAATCTTTCTAAATTTACTAATTTTTACTTTTACACATCCACTGTAAAATACTGCCATCATACAGCTAAACATTTAACAGGCTTTTGGGGAGATTAAAGCTCACTGCCAATAAAAACCTAAAAATTTAGACTAACTTTTTCAGACTAGACTGTCTGAAACGAGTTTTCATGCTAACTAGTGTAAATCGGAAATGCAGACTAAATTCCTTTAAATTCAGCCTAAGTTACCTTTAAATTCAAACTGAGTTTCTTTAAATTCAGACTGAGTTTCTTTAAATTCAGACTTTGTTTCTTTAAGTTAAGACTAAGCTTCTTTAAATTCAGACCGTTTCTTTAACTTCAGACCAGCTACTGGAGGTATTTCAGACTAGTTATGAATATGAGAAGTATGAATATCACAGCAAGTACAGGTAGCCCGTGTAGACTCTTGCTTCCTACTATTCACGCGACGTTTCCTACGGTTAGCTGCCTTCTCTTCTGATGTTGGTTCGTGATTATCCACATAATATGGCATTTTTCGCTGTTTGATGTTTGAACGCACTAGCGTTCGACATAGAACAGATTTTGTGGCCAATTTGAACCGTATTTCTTCTGTGTTCGAAGAATTACGGAAAGTATCCGAAAAACTACAATACTGAGTATCTGTAACTTTACTAAGACCTGTGAAACTACCAGAGTGCGTGGGGGTTTCTACAGACGCTGGTACATTTTCAGTATAGTTTTTCGCGAAAAAGACCTAAAATCTGTAATTTTACAGGTACTATTAATTTTACCCTCGTATGTCGGTTAAACTGACATGTTCTGTAAAATCACACAACAGTTTTTGTACAGAATTATACCAAATATCAGTAAAATCACTGTTATAATTTATCTTGTGCCCATCTCCAATCTGGTCATAGGTGGGAGCGTGCTTGCATTTGTTCGGTCTCAGACCGTTGCACTGTCCTGTCCAGGGGCAGTCTGAAAATGTCAGATCCATAGAAGGAGACAGACAGAAAGGGAGAGGGGTGGGCGAATGGACACACTGGAAAAACAAAGATGGGACTTAGTTCCTTTTAAAGGTGCTAAATTTTAACGCCTTTGGAAAGGCACATAAGTCTGCAAAGGCATTAAAATTTAGCATCTATTGGGGCATTTTCGTGTCTTTTCAGGGCTGCGAATTTTTTAATGCCTCTGTAAGGGCACGAAAGTCATTAACACCCCTAGAAGGGTGTTGATTGCTACCTTTGTTTTTTCAGTGCACTACGCGGTAGTACATCGGCTCGCTGGTAAGACAAATCTCGAAAGCGGGCTAAAAGCAATGAGCTCATTTCAGTGTACGACTTACAATCAGAGCCAGCCTCGTAGCTTCGGTGGCCGCAGCGCTGCTATCACCATCGATGACGGCTTGGTCTAACAGTTGGCTCGTGCGAAGGTTTGCCCACAGGCGCTTCGAGTTGGGCTCACCGTTGAGCGTTTTAGGCTGCCAGGTAGGGTCGACAGATACCTAGTAAAAAGAGGACGACATTTGTAAATTATTAAAATATGTCTTACCGTCAAGTTGGTATCAATGCGTACCACTACACTTGAAAAACTCTACAGGCAAAACGCTATATTTGCATTGTATTGAATATGCTCACAATAAAGAGTCGAATAGTGGACAAATTTATACCCTATATGGTACCTTCAGATTGAGAGTGTAAAAAAAATTGGCGAAAATTAACCCTAACTCGTCCGAAACTCGTCTGAACTTTTCGGACGACTGTGGTAGGCCTACAGTTTTCTGATTGCTCTAAGACGGCGTTCGGACGTATGGATACCGTTTCGGGCGTCTCAAAGTCGTCCGAAATTCGTCAAACTGTGTCGGAATCTTGTCCTAATAGTGATCGCTTTTTGGAGGAGTTTCGGACGAGCGTCATCATGGGCCATAAGGAAAACATGAAAATGGGACCGGCCGGCGAGTGGAGTCGAACCACCAGCCTCTCGCTCACGAGTCGGTCGCTTAGCACGCTTGGCCAGAGCGCACCTGCCTCTGGTGCCGAGAGCATCGCCACCACATTGCAGTCTCCGGCACTCTGAGCATCGTCTGCTGATGGCCATCCATGTAGGCATTGGTGGCGATGCTCTCGGCACCAGAGGCAGGCGCGCTCTGGCCAAGCGTGCTAAGCGACCGACTCGTGAGCGAGAGGCTGGTGGTTCGGCTCCACCCGCCGGCCGGTCCCGTTTTCATGTTTTCCTTATGGTCCATGATGACGCTCGTCCGAAACTCCTCCAAAAAGCGATCACTATTAGGACGAGATTCCGACACAGTTTGACGAATTTCGGACGACTTTGAGACGCCCGAAACGGTATCCATACGTCCGAACGTCGTCTTAGAGCAGTCAGGAAACTGTACCAAAGTCGTCCGAAAAGTTCAGACGAGTTTCGGACGAGTTTGGGTCAATTTTCGGCAATTTTTTTTACACGGGTATTGAGGGAGACATACACAACAAAAAAGGGCCTGGTTTGTCGCCAAATGTGTCGTTTTACTGGTTTGACAATATAAAAAAGTTTGACAATATATTCGGTGACCTACCTGTTTTTTTAAGTTTGTAAAGGGTCAATTTTTGAGCTAAAATGCTCATCTTTGAAGTCGATCTGTATTTATAGCAGATGATACTAACAGTATCAGCTGCTTGTTGGCTGAGCGATAGCGAAGCCTATTACTCCAGTGATGATCAAAAAGTTTCGTGTCTGTGTGTTTGTCTGTCTGTCTGTCTGTCTGTCTGTACGCACGATAACTCG